CTCTCCTGCAGGGGGGCGTGGTCAGATGCAGCTCACAGAATCAGCCCCCTGCAAAAACAGCGCTGGAAAGAGCAAATAGAGCGAAATGAGGCATGGCTAAAATGCAGGATCTGTTTGGTATTTTGAAAAAAATACTATATTTATATACTTTATATAGGTATGGCCCTACAATATATTGTTGAAATATAGCATGATATGTCCCCTTTACGTCAAATGGATATATATTCCTTTTTACTGAAGAACTTAAGAGTTTTTGAACTATTGTTAGATCACAGCATGCTTTAACAACGTATTTGTTGTTATGGAATCTCGTAAAGCTATCATAAATGAGCCAGCTGATGCATCACGTGCCACTTGTTTGGCAGGTTATATCATTTTGCATTGTTATCTATGAAGAGCACATTCTTTCAGCTTCCTTATTGGCAGTGGTGGAAGAAGTATTCAGATCCTTTACTTCACAAGAAGTACTCATACTGTACTTTAATTCCTGCATTAAAATAAGTAAACCTAAGTATTATAAAACAGATCAAATATAACAATGATATGTGAAACATGACCAATAAAAAGTGTTCAGTGTGTTAAGATCTATATTCTCAGTATGTACGACTACCTTCTAATACAGTTCTTAAGTAAATCAGTTGTAGAAAACTGAGAATAGTACTTGAAACGAGAAATGTATGAACAACATGTATTCTTACTGGGTTTTTCTTCTGTGTGTGTGTGTGTGTGTGTGTGTGTGTTTGTTTGTGTTTGTGTGTGTGCGTGACAGGTGTTGGTCCTACCTGGGCCGCCAGAGTAGAGAACAGGCTATCTCCCTGAGGAAGAATGGTTGTTTGTACACATCCACAGTGCAGCACGAGGTTCTCCACGCTCTGGGCTTTGCTCACGAGCAAGTCCGCTCCGACAGAGACAGCTACGTCTCCATCATCTCCAGGAACATTAAGCCAGGTCAGCTCACACACAAGCACTCTTCTTCACAGTCCTGGTTGTCTCATGTATTATACAAAAACACAGGGGTGAGGGATGAGTTTAAAGTTTATGCCTCTTCACTGAAAATTCACCAACATCAGAGTCATAGCCATGATAGCAGCTCTGGGGGGTCTTTCCCATTTTGCAGGTTGCACATCCTCCATCCACCTTGACAAGACCCTGTTGTGTGTTTGGTGTTTGTGCATGACATCTGATCTGAGAAGTTGACATGAGTTGAACAATATCATTTTTGAAATAAATAACTTCTAAATCTGCCCCTTGAGAGCTCTGAAGTGACAAAAACTCCAAACCCCATATGTCTTTCCTCAGAGAAGCCGCTGCACATCTTTAGATAAACTGCCATGCCATCCACATCTCTGACCCAAAACAATCAAAAATCATACAGATCGTTCATCGGGGAGGGACTTTTAAATGAAGCGTCTATGGACTCTCCCCTCACTGATCACTCAATGTCTCCTTGGAAACCTTTGATCTTTCCAAGCAGAGCAGACACAGGGGATTTGATTACCGATACTCAGCACAAAAAATGACACACTGAATGGATTTTAAAAGACTGTCTCAGCCTATTCTATACTGTCTCATTGAAACTTCATTCAAACGGATTCAGAAATATTCAACATATTTTTTATTGGCAATTCAGGATTTTAGCTGATATGGTTGCAATTAAAATGTACTGCAGCTTTTTCATGGATTTTTTAATTTTTTTGTTCATATAAGTTAAAGTACAAGTACAAAATATAAAGCTGTATTGATTGATGCATTCAGACTTAAAATATTTCATCTTTTTCAAACATTGGGAGTTTTATGCAACTCTTTTATATAATGTGTATTGTTCAAATTTCTATGACATTCATTAGTATGAAACCCATTTCCTATTATCCAAATATGACTGCTTCTTCACCTTTCTATTACATATTCAAGCAAGCGTTGCAGTTGATTCCCACCACAATTACATTCTCTAGTTTAAATATATTATCTGTGAATCTTGTGCCAATCGATCTTATAGATGTTGAGATATTTGAATGGACCATGAATGTCCATATCAAATCCATCCAATAGTAACTAATAGATTAAAATGGTTGGCTGTCTACCAGCATGCTTTCAAGCAAGTATTGTTTTCACATTTTCAATCCACTGTTATGTAATGGCAATAATGTAAACGCTGTTGTTAATTATTTTTCTCTCTTGTTCTCTCTTCATGTGCAGGAAAAGAACATAACTTTTTGAAGCGGCAAACCAACAACCTTGGTACTACCTACGACTTCAACTCTGTCATGCACTACGGAAAGTGAGTGTTTGTGTGAGTGTATGTCAGTCAACATTAGTCAACATTAGTCAACATTATTTGTGAGTCAGAAGCAAGTGCTTGTGTGGTGTGTGCAGCACTGTTTGCCAAACATGTTTTCTTCTTTTCATCCTCAAGATACGCCTTCAGCAAGAATGGGCAACCGACCATGCTCGCTAAGAGAAATCCGAGTCTTAACTTTGGGAATGCTCATACGATGAGCAATATTGACATCGCTCTTGTCAACAAGCTTTACCAATGTTAATGTAAGTGAGAAAATAATTCTATATTCTCCAATACTCGAAAACCTAAACATAGCGGATACATTCAACTACTAATATAGCTGTAACAGCAGAACTAGAAAAACATAGGGTCGAAATATTGTTTATCTGAATCTCATTGTTTTTTCCCTCACCAGAAACGGAAGGAAAGAGTCGGCCTCCAGATACTTCAACTCCTGGCTTTTCATGATTCATCCGAAGGGTCAGATCTGTTGTTTATCACTGACTAGCTTTCTGCTGAGGCCAATCAATCTAGATGGCTCAGCCTATTATGGTTTTATACTTAGTGGGCCAAAGACACATTCAATTGTTACTGATGTGTCTAGAATAAAAATGAAAACAATTTAAACAATCAATTTATCATAGAAACAATGACAGAAAACACATTGATGTAATGTAATTGCTGATTGATACTGATGATTTCAATGACTTTGTATTATTCTTTGAACTGAAGTTATGCATTTGTTGATTAAAGTTTCTGGGGAAAAAAACGTAAGTTTGTATTTCTTTAAATTAGAAAAAAGGCTGCTATTAATCTCACATTGAGTACGTAACTATGATTTAAATGCACAGTGTTATTGTAGGTTTCATCATACTAAGTGCATTAACAGAAAGAATGCCATTTGTTTAAAGCATTGGTGGGATAAATACTCAGATACATTATTAACAACATATGACAAGTAATTGTCCTGCATTCAATAACCTAGTTAAGTAAAAAGGTTATCAGGAAATGTATTTTAGGCATCAAATATTGAAGTTTTAGAACCTCCGGCTGATGTATCATATGTTAACCCATTAAGGATGCTTGAAATTAAGCTATTTTAAACTTGTATTTATACATAAGCTTGTTTAGTCCAGTGGTTCCCATCCTAGGGGTTAAGGACGGGTCCTTAAATCCTTGATTGGAGAGAATTTTATGGTGCAATTGTAAAATATTGAGTAATTTCTTTGTCTTTCAGCCTCTTAAAGTTATTTAACAATTTCCTAATAAACTGTGTAACAATCCAAGATTGAGAAACACTGGTTGAATTTTCAACAATGCACAATATTTTTTGACAAAATGCATACTTACAAGCAACGGTGCATTTGAAACTTTTGGAGAAACCCGAGTGGATCTACAGTTTAACAAAGTACGCAGGGAGACGGAGCTCAACAATGGTGTTTGCCAGAAATACTACTGGACAGACTCGTCTTTCCGCATTAGCCTCCACAGCGATATAGTATTATAATTTGAACTGTTACGTCATTTAACTCTTCTTGAGGAAAGAAAGATGGATTTGTGTACTAATAATCAAACGTATTACTGAGTATAGGCTAAAGTGACTTAATTTTTTAAAATATTTTCTTGTCTTTTTTTCAAGTAAATATTGAAGCTTCTGTCAGAACGATGGATGTGGCCCAGCTGACAAAGAGGTAAAACAGGGGTAGTTTCTCAATGTCGAGGACGCTTGCTTAGTAGCACATGTCTTCCGAGTCACTTGCTTCAGAAGCGAGGCAAGAATTCTTTCTAGCCTCGGAGAACCAAGAATGGAACAGGATAACAGGTGTGCAGGTGTGCGTCATATGCAAGGCCCCGCCTTAAATGGAGCGCGATTTGTTTGAAAACTCAAAACTGATTAGCGAAGATGGAAACTTTTGTGTTGGTTTCGTCTTGTATCTTGTATTGAATTTACTGAGAAGGAGGAAGAGATAGATCGGGAGTACATACCAGCCAACCCTACCGATTTGGGCAGTAGTCTACCGCTTTTGACATGTTTCTACCGCCGACCGACTTAGCTGGCTTACCCTACCGATTTTCAATCTTCCCAAACTATAACAAATAAAAATGACACTCCATAGACACTGGACTCGACTTTTGGTGGACACCGTTTGCAGCGTGTCCACCAAACAGTCCTCTGTGTTTCTGAAAGAGAAACAACGTGCAGACCGGGGGTAGCGCTGCCTTTCCTCTGCACCCCCGGGGCTGATGGGTAATCACTCCCAAATGAGTAAATGAAGAACAGAGACGAGGCATTTGAGTCCTTCAGGATTTCCCCGTTAATATCAGTGTCTCGAAAACACATGTTGGCGACTGAAAGACATCCAGTGTTTGGTATTTTCCTGAAGCATCCTACAGTGTCTCAACTGAAAGAGGACCACAAACACACACAAAATATAATACAATTTTGAGATTTGGGGATATTTATCTCCCATTCTTTCACTTTTTCTGACATTTTCAACACCAAACATGTCGTTAATGTCTCTGTTTAGTGAACTACAGCAATCTGAAAACCTCTACATTATTTATATCACACTTTATGAGTAGACAAATGCAGGAAATGACTTTTTAATGCAGTATTTTCTGATTTATGGCGCAACACAAAGATATTTTCGCTCTCTAAACCTTTGAATATGTCAACAACATGAAACGAGAATATAAGCCTGGCTTTT